TAGTCGGACTTACAACGCTATAAACCGGGTTTCGATACCCGTGGTTTGTGTTTTTTTTAATATTCACAAAAGCTACACAAGGGCTATCTGTGCTCTGCCCACCACGGGTATCGAAACCCGGATTATAGCGTTGTAAGTCCGTAGACATACCGCTGTGCCACTGGGGGGCCAATACCCGTGGTGGGCAGAGCACAGATAGCCCATTGTGTAGCTTTGTGCATAATTACAAATGACAAATAACCTACTTATATATATATATCTTCTTATCTTAATAAATATAATGAAACATGTAGTTCATCGAACCAATCTTAACACGTGCTGTATATCTTGTAAGGACACAACGTAAAATATAAGTAACATGTGTAAAGTAAATGGTTCACTGCTAAATCTATAAAGTTTCTTTCTATTGGTTTGTTTTGAATTTCGCGGGCTATCTGCGCTAGCCGTCTCTAATTTAACAGTGACAGACTAGAGGAAAAGCAGCTAGTCAACATCACCTACCACCAGCTCTTGGTTTTACCAACGAATAGCAGAATTAAGAGAATCTAACCCGCGACCCTCAGATTGCTACTAGAGCGCCTTAACCACCAGGCCGATTTATAAGGATGAGGGACCCCCCCCCCGATGAACGTGTGCAGTTGTTTGTTTGTTTGTTTTCCGCAAAGCTACTCGAGTGCTATTTGCACTAGCCGTCCTCAATTTAGAAGTGTTAGACGAAAGGGAAAGGCAGACATTCAACACCACCCACCGCCAACTTTTGAGCTATTCTTTACCAACAAAAAGTAGGATAGATCGTCACATTATAACGCTGAAAGAGCGAGCATGTTTCGATGACGGGACAAATGTGTGAAACTGAAACCTAGTGGTTTGCAAATTACTTCAAAAATAAATACAAGATTTCACTCCGTGACTATTATTAAAATATTTATTTAACCTCCTTCCTGTTCACTGGTGAATAATATTTATAGTTATTTAATTGTTCAAATTAAATAATAGTCTCGTAGTCATAGTACAGTAAGAGCTAACCAGGTGCTCTTAACTCAGGATGACGTCATTGATTCTAACAACATATTTTGCACATACCATAAACATTAGATCATCATCAGTGCAGTATCCGTAACGTACAACACGGATATATGCGATCAGCCAATCAGATTCTCTTGCTGGTAATATGATG